AGCCAGGAAGAGAAGTCTCACCCGAAACCTATTTTGCTGGCACTTTGATCTTGGACTTCCAGTCTCTAGAACTACGAGAAAATAAATGTCTGCTGTTTAAGCCACCCAGTCCGTGGTACTTTGTTATGGCAGCCTGGGTGCACTAATACGCACGCAGAGATCTCTGGCTATATGGATGATTAACCTTGGAGTTCTCAGGAATGAAATCTAGACAGCCCATCAAAAGCCTTAGATGGTCTGTATAACCAAAAAGACTCTTAGGTCTGGCCAATAGAGGTCCCTGGCATTTGAGTTACCACACTAGCATAACAGCTGGAGGAATAGCTCAAATATGATTCCCAGACATAAGTCATCAATTATGCAGACCCAAGATCCTTAGAATGGAGAATGGTCAGGCGAACCCGAGCAAGAAATCTGCTGTCGCACTTGTAATCCTTTACCTTGGCCTTCCCCTGAAAGCACCTGCAGTCGACCTTGGCAACTTGCAACAGGAAGCAGGGCCGCTCCATACCTTTCAGAGACTAATTGGAAACTGCATTTAAGTCAATGCTAGTGCCAAGAGATCCAGAACACCCCTGCAGTAGTACCGACCACAGAGTGGAGGGAGTGCTTATGGAGGTTAGGGGAAAATGGAGCTCTTCCCTGAGTCTGCCGCTGGGTGGGCTCAGTGAGACCCTGAACACCTCCTCTGGGATTATTCTACCAGTTTTAGATACACTTAGCCTCAGCCCACATCTACACATTGTTTTGAGTGTGCACTATAGTTATTGTTGTTGATGTTCGACCTCATGGCGCTACATGCCCCCCCCCCCACCAGATGGACATTTGAGTCTCCTCTTAAACCCACCAGATCATGTCTCCAAAGCCCTCTCCAGGTGGAGGGATTTTTACTTGGCTGGTAGTTGTCAGGGCTACCCTGAGATTCTGTTGCTTCCTCTAACCTCTCTGCTCCAACAGATGGTATCACAGAAAACACTAAAGTTATCTTCTGCACCCTCTCAAGGATGTAGAGAGAAGTCATGGAGTGGGAAGTTGCCCCCATCCTTTTCTTCCCAAGTCCACTATATCATGGCCCCTACTCACCCTGCTGCTACAGGCTGCTCCAGCGAGCCTCCTGACTTCAGAAATCTCCAGCCAGAGACAGGTGCCTATCTCCTGTATACTGCCACATTGGCTACCTGGCCTCCGGGGGGAAAAGGTATTGGGGTAAGAAGGGGGCAAATTGAAGCTATTAGAGCTCCTCCTCCTTCCTCCTTGTCAACAGAGGAAGTAAAATGCAATAGCTTATCCTTATGGGAATTGCAGAGGTTTTTTGCCACCATCGAAGACTTGAATAATGCAGGTGTTATTCCTACCACACACAGACTAATGTGGATCCACAGCTAAAACAGGCTCTTCAGCTGGTGTAGATCACCATGCTAGTAGTTCTGCCCCTTGGCCCTTAACATCCAGCAGGTCCAATGGTGCTCAACATGTTTGGGGGAAAACAGTATGCCGTAGGGAGTCTATGGCAAGCCCCAATAGGAGAATCACAGCGGAGGCTGCTAGGATGTAATACATGCTATGAACCAGCAGCCAGTCCACAGTGCTGTTTCTTCCATTGCCAAGATTCGGCAGTCTGGGAACAGAGAGGTGGAAATGAAGGTGATGCCTCTTATAATTATAATAAGACACCTGACGCATCCGCAACAGTTTCACTTCCCATCCCTGCAACTCTGATCTCTGGTGGCTTAGAGGTTTAAATTTCCTAGAAGAAACACATCCAGCATGGGATGAAACAATGGGTTTACCAAATTCGAAGCCACTCTTAGCTCCAGGAGCCATTCAAAACAGGGGATTGTGGTGTTCATGCTATGGAATGAGGGCAAGGAGGAGTATGGTTGATTTTCGGGATCTCCTAAGGTGCCTTCTTATACTACAATCCTGATGGGGTGAACGGCCAGTACTGCAACCCTACAAAGGACCACCAATGGCTCAGACGCCTTAGGAGAGAAGGACCGAGACTCCTCAGCAGCCAAGGCAAACGATATGTGGAATTGATAGAGAAGTCACAAATAACATGGCCACCTCTTGGCTGCGTGAAGAAGTGAGGACTGTACCCTCTATCTGTATTTGCCTGCTTATTGTCATTAAAAAAAAAACAACAACAAAGAAACAAAAACTTCTCTCACCACTTCTTTAGTATTATAAATGGGACAGAGTGGTGGTGGTCATGGAATTGTAGAATAGCGATACCAATTTGGGATAATGGCAGAGCTAGAGAAAGAGGAGACATCATCGGGAGAAGCTGAACTATAAGCAGAGGCCCCATGACCTCACCTCCAACTATGATCGCTGGAAATGTTTGTATGTGTTGTCTCTCTCTGAGTAGTTCTTGATTGTACATGGAGTAATAATTGAATTATGCGAGGAGGGAGCGTTTTTGGAATAACATGAATGGAAGAAGGGTGTTTGTACATGCTAGGAATCCAAGGAGTAGAAGGTAATTATTGTCTATATTACTTCTGTCTACCTACCAACCCCTCCTTTCAGTAACTGCTGAAAATCACAGGAATTCGCTTCTTCAGACCACTGGAGTACTTGGGGTAGAAACACAGGTGATGGAAAGACATGCAAGTACCCAATAAAGCCCCCAAATATGTGATATCCTTGCTTGTTTTGGAGCCTCCACCTTTTAAGACTTCAGCTGCCTTGCCCAGAGTCATTCAGATCCTTTGGTTCATCAAAGTTTGGCTTATGAACTTTACCTGTAGGTTCCGAAGCATTTTTCAGGAAGGATTTGAATCGAAGCTCTTAGATTTACAGTAAAACTAATGGGGACTTGTGCTAAGCCACGTCTTGAAAGACAGAACGTTTACAACCCTCTGACCACTCCCACCCCTATACAGGCATACCTCGGAGATAGTGCGGGTTCTGTCCCAGACCACCTCAATAAAGCGAATATCGCAATAAACGAGTCGTAATCATTTTGCTTGGGAGAGGGTCTTGCCTTCAATTCGTAAAAAACACAACATTTGTGAAGCACAATAAAACAAGGTATGCCTGGCCTGAGGACGAGGATTCTAGAGATAGTCTCTCTGAGTGTCTGGGGAAGGGAGTCAATGCCAGTAGTCATTCGGGTGACCGGAACCAGCCTGAGTCTGAAGGCAGGCGAGGAACTTCAGAACTGCATCCAAGGGGGTCAAGGGTCACAACAGAAAGGCCAGGCCATAGACCAGCCTGAGGGAGTCCAGGGCATGGAACACACATCTGTGCCTATAAAGTCAGGAGTTTGGTCATATCGGGAGAGGACCTGGAGGAAAGGAAGGGGGAAGTGATAGCGTCAAGGTAGAACAGGAACTCTTTTGATCTGCCATGTAAGAAAGGCACTCCCTCGCATTTGGTACTTTCAGAGGACTGCATCTTTAGGAAAGCCTGAGTTAAAGGTTATTTTCTGTTGCTCAAGGGAACTGCACCCAATTCCACAGGTAAGCCCACGCCAAAAGTTGCCAGAGATACTCAGCTCATGAAGGTCACACGATTATGGAAGAGAACAGGTTAATAAATCTGAGCATGAGGCAGTTTCACTGGCTGACTTTTTTTTTTTTTTTTTTGGCTGTGGGATGAGAAAGTTTACCTACAGTGAATTAGAGGAAATGATTTTAAAAGTGAAACACAAAACCAAAGCCTGTGTGCTCTCTGCAAGTTAAAATTTTAAACTGTTAACTGTTCAGAACTGTGTATACTTAATATTTCTGTTAACGGGCAAAAAGTTGTTTTCTGAGGAGAAGGCGGTGTTTAATTAGTTTCTACATTGAGACCAATTGGCTTTTATTTGAGAACTTGTTATAAAGAACGCTTTTAATGTTTCGTTAAAACAAATTGGTTTTGGTTAGAATTCAAGTCCTAAGTGACTGTGCGTTGTATGTGACCCTCCATTAGTGTGCCCTGGCGCAAGTGCTTGGGAGCACTAAACTGAGGTTGCCAGAATGGAGTGCCTCGCTCTGTTTTCCCAAAATTCCGGCATCCGCTTGGATAGTGAATTTTACACTAAAATGCCGAGGCCTCACAATTTAAATAAAAAATTAAAAACTAATCATAATGAGTCTATTCGTAGCAAAACGAATATTGTTTGCAATATGTCATCGCGCCGCCACTATACTTCTCTGTTCTTGTCTCCTCTCCTGAAAATTGGAAGTAATAGTAGTCCCTAGCTCCGAGTTGTGAGGATTAAAGGAAATGATGTGTATAAAGTGCTTAGGACATCGCATGGCTTATCTTAAGTGTGGGATGATGGTTCCAAGTGTTATTTTTCTTCAACTAAGCGGAGTGTATGTATGTATGCATGCGATATCTATTTCTCTCTGGCTCACATCTATTAAATTCATTCCATGTCTGGTAAAATATAATTCCTTATTTTTAAGGGCTACAAAGTATCCCCTTATAATATAGATGTACTATTTTTATTTAACCAGGCTCCTCCTGCTGGACATTTAATTTATTTCCACTGTCTTGCTATTGTGACTACTACTAAAAATGTGAGAACCTTGCATACACATCATGGGGTACTTATCCAGCTTTAAGGTCTGAAAAGTTTTAAGTTTTGAAAATTCATTCCCGTCCTGTTCTGTTTTTACCCCTTAACTATGACTTTGTAGAGATTTGCTCCTGCAAAGTTTCACAGAGTGAGGAAGCCCTTGGCTACATGAAGATTACTGGCCATTTTTAGTTTTAAAGCATTTCCGTTGGTCTCCTGTTTCCTTGGAAAGCAAGGGAATTCTATTTGCGTGATCATTCAGGAACATTTTAGGATATACATACGCCATTGCAGAAAAACAAGAAGGCAGACTCTATCTACCCTCGTGTGCCACTCCCCAACTCCCCTTCCCTCAAATTTCCTTCCTTGAGTGCAGTAAATTTTTATTTTTTTAAATTTTTATGCCAGTTTATTTATTTGTTTTTATACTATATATACATATGTGTTTTTACATTTTATTTCCCCCTCCCTCTCCCAGTAAATTCATTTTTAATAAGTTTTCATTTTTAATCAAAACCATGCATGCACATAGTTTAAAAAATCAAAGAATGCGAAAGCGTGTGTGTGTGTGTGTGATGAAAAGCAGTAAATCCTCGCTCATCCTTCTCAACTCTTGATTCCCCAACCCAGAGGCAAAACTTTTACACGTTTGGTTAGTGGTTATCTCCGTTTTTAAGAATATGCTTTTATTACTATTTCTTGACCTGATAACATGAGGCATTTTCTGCTGACTTCCTGCTGTCCCCCTCCACTCTCCTCCCCACTCCATATGGTCGTAACACTATTTTTAATGCTTCCGCCCGTACCCTTGCTCATTTTGATATAGTCATTAAAACTTTTTACTTTTTATTTTAATTTTTCAATCACAGTTGACATTCAAATATTGTATCAGTTTCAGGTGTACAGCGTAGTGGTTAGACATTTATATACCTTACGAAGTGATTCCCCCCACCGATATTCTTTGAACTAGAGACAGTATCCAGACTTCCCGCTTCATGAAAATAGCACCACTATGCCATTTCCTCCCCTCCGCCAGTACTTATACACCGTCAAAGTTGGTAATATTCCCATTCTGTTCTAAAACCCTAATTAAGTCTTCCCTGCTTTGCCTTAGATTTACTCTAAAAATGGAACATCATAACTAATATTTCTATTGTAATGCTCATTTAAATACCGCTCACTGAATAGCAAAGTCGAATGCTGTGGTTGGATCTGTGACTGCAGTCTCGATCCATGTGCCAATGTCCAAGCAGATTCCGTTTTTCACACTCCTGGCGACTGTTCAAAACCAGGCCACATCCCAGGTTGCTTTTTTATTTGAAGCATGCTTTCCTTGCACAGCTTGAAATGTTTGTTTCCCTGCAGTTCCCGTTTACCGTTGTTTCCTCTTTGGGGGTGAGGCAAGGTATGACTTCAGATCACGATATTAATTTCCTCCGACGTCTAATTCCATCCAGTCTATTGCTTAGCATTCATTCCACGCAGTTGGAACTCTATGCAGGTCTCATTCTAATTTGGAGGATTAGCCTTCTCTCTGGACCATTCCAGCACAGTTTATTTAAGTTGTTAGTAACCTTTCCTCCTTTTTTCCCCTTTAAGGCATCCTGTGTCCCTTGGCATCGCCCAAAGTTCGTGCTGCTTTTTGTTTTGTGTTTTTTTTATCATACGGATGCAAGAACTTCTCACATATTTCTGCAGATTTTCAGACTTTTAAGTTCTTTTCTGTTCCTTGAAATATCTATTTCCTCGAGAGGCAACTTTTCGTTATATCTTAGGCTTTTTTGGTCATGCTGAAGGCTTTCCGCAAATAATGACTTCTAGCCGCCCATTTACATTAACAGATGAGACACTGGGAAGACAGACGGGCAAGTCCGCGTGTGCGGGCCGAGCTGGTCACTTCGCTCTGGGGCGGGTGAGCCGGTGGGTGCAAGTCAGCCATCCTGCCTGGGGCCCGCCACTACCACAGAGTTAATCGCTCTAAATATGTACCTGCAGGTGGACGTTGAGAATCACGGAGGCCACCGCGTAGAAGTAGGGGAAGTTCACGCGCAGGCGCCAGGCCAGGTCGAAGAAGATGAGCAGTGTGCGCGTGAGCCTCTTGCAGAAGGCGCGGTAGGAGCCGCGGGTCGCGGCCCAGCGCGACAGCCGCACCGCCAGGCCGGACAGGGCCGCCGCCGCCATCGGTCTGTTGTAGCCTCCCATACAGCGCCCAGAGCCCAGGGACTCCTGCCGGCTCCGCGGACCCACCGACCGACGGACAGAGGGAATCCGTGCGGGAGGCCGACGGGGTGGCCCTCCTTGCCCTGCAGCCCTGGGACCCAGGCGATCGGATCGCCGGGACCCACACC